TAAACTGAAAACTTTTTGCCGGTAACGGCATTACGCTTCTTTTATTTTGACGTAACGTAGGTCGGTAACGCGTTCTTTTTATTTGACAGTAACGAGCAATGTATTTCGTTACTCTTTGTTCAGTAACGCCCGCAACACTGTCTGCTGCCGGTAGCGTTATCTGGCCTCCAACGAAGCTTAAAACGAAGCGTGACTTGGCATCTCACCGCAGCGCCTTTAATAGGCTAAATCTAGCGGCCAGTAGTGTCCACACACTACATCATCAACTCGTCAGAAACGCGAGTCTTAACTCCGCAGAATATACTCGACGCATCGGAATAACTTATTCTGCGGCCGAAGCATAACCCGCGACGCACTCGATGGCGTGCACACAGTCCAGGGTCGCCTTATCAGCGAATCGCCACCCCTTCCACCGAATATGATTAATGAACCCAATTCCGGCAGCTTCCCTTCCCGAACGGGGCGAATAAGGTTGCTACACGTCGCTGGAGTTTTCCCCGAACGAGACCGAGATTAAAAGAGCCTCCCGCGTACCATAATGAGGATCGGTTATGCATGGAACTATGCGCAGTCATTTCTGCGCCTCTTAACTGGTACTGCGGTTACAACTTTGGGACGGCAATGCATCCTAGTGAGGCGAGATTGTGTCACTTTTTTTTAGTATGGAGGTGGCATATCCCTGTTGTTCCGTAAATGGCTCCTATAGCGTTTCGTTGTGTATTCTTTTACGAGGTCTGATCTCGCAACTCGAAACGACGTTGCCCAGAGAATGGCTTGTTTAGTTTCAGCAGTTAGCGACGGCGGGATATCGGAAAAAGTCACGAACATTCGTTACCTATAGTGGCTGGCCCCGATGCTGCTGCGCCAAAAACCCCAAAACCGCCACCTATAGTCGCAATTGAGATAAGAACCCACTGCCGCTGGCGTACACCGATTCGAGCTTAAACCACGAGAGGAACCCTCGTGGTTTTGATCGTATTAATGGATAGAGTGTATTAACTGCGAAAGGGTATGATAAGAATCAAACTAATGTTGCCCAAAAACTAACTGGCAATTTTCGCGGTATGATATATATTAATGTTTACTTTGCCGAGTTAAACCTGCAGCTCAGGCTCATAAATCGATTCGGCGAGGACAAACCCCAACAGTCGAATCCCAGTTGCTGCCACATATTTTATACTGGTAACGTGCAGGCTCTAAAAATAACAATAACATGATCCTTTTTTTTTTTTTACCGCAAAAAAAAAATATTTGGCATCCCCAAACTTTCCTTTTCCACCCCAATGTAGCGCGGGAGTTTCGAACCACAGGCCAAAGTTTTAGAACTAACCTTTGTCTTGTTCGAAAGTTAGGTTATTTTAGGGAACTTTCAATGGGGAATTGGCGGCTGACGGGGCACTCGAATAGATGAAGCTGAAAAGCGCTATAGTTACCAAAAACAAGCCCCATTATTCCTTTTTTTTTTTTTTTTTTTTCAGAGGGACATTTTTATTTTTAGAATAAGATAACGGTTTCTTTTGAAGCTTTGGCATTAGCTTCGGACCGCTAGCGCTACATTTGGACAGAGGCCGAGCGTTCGGTAATGCGTCGTTGATTTTTACAAAAAAAAAAATAATATATATTTTTGGGTTTTTTTGTTTATTTGTTGTTGTTGTTGTTTGTTTGTTTGTTTTTGGGGGGAGGGAGGGGGGGAGGGGGACGGTTTATTTCACAAAACACCTAAGACTGTGTTCAACGCTTATCAAGTCAAAGAACACATGGTGAAAAAAATTATTCTACGTCAACGCGGTTTTTTTTTTTTTAATTATTATTCTTAGTTGCGAGTAACAGTTCGTGTGTGTCCCGCTCCCTTGTCCCTGGTATTATATACATTGTTGTTGCTGTTGTTGTTGTTGTTGTTGTTTTTGCTTTGTTTTTATTGTCTCGATAAATTCATAATTGCCGAAGAACGTCCACGAATAAGTTATTTTAAAAAATACTTTGCATGCCACTCGTATCGTCAGTGACGGTTTCAAACTCGGCGTCTAACGCGAGTCCTCAGCTCCCTCTTATCTCCCCACAGCCGGCGAGACTGCGGTGTCAGCCGATAAGATCGTCGAAGAACGGATCGCCACGCAAGAAGCGACAAGATAGCAAGACACGCCCCGCTGTTCTTGAGCTGGCAGCAACTACGAAACGAAACCGAAACCTATCGTGTACGGGCATGCGGCCGTAATGACCGGCACGATGGGCAGGCCTTACAAAATTCGAATTTCAGACGTGCATCCCTGAAATTAGGCACGCAAATGTCGTATTGCAAAAGAACAACAAAAAATAAAAAAAAACATTTATTGCTTATTTATTTTTAGTACTCAACTCAGGAGTGGTGAGTTGTTAAGAATAGAACAAAAAAACGGAGTGTTGGGAGGTACTTTAAATATATTTAACTTAAAGTACCTCCCTCCTAAACATACTTCACTACTTGAAGTAGGTTAAGAAAACATGTACTTTACATGAAGTACACTCTCTGAGTATGTACTTGTACTTTACATAAGATATTTCTTTCTCATATTTTCAGGCAAGAGTACAACTCCCGACTTCAAACCACCTTCTCCAGATCAAAAAGAAAAATAATAATAACAATAAATGTCGTATCGTCATGGGAAAACGCGCTATTGTTTTTCGAGACGTCATCTGGTTGTTTCTCCGAGCGAAATAATTTCGGCTATACGGCCGACACAGACAAGTGCCTTATAAGTTATTGCAATAAATAGCTCGTCAGCGAGAGTAAAACGACTACTCCGGTACTACTCAAATTTATCCAATATTCGCCACCCTCGATTACCCTTAAAACGATGCCCATACCAGTTTCATATATATAAATATATATATATATATATATATATATATATATATATATATATATATATATATATATATATATATATATATATATATATATATATATATATATATATATATATATATATATATATATATATAGAAAGTAATGAAGTCGCACTTCGAAACGTTGTTGGAGTTTGAAAGCATTTAGTGAGTCGACGTTTCGGCCTGAGACAGGCCTTCTTCAAGACTGGTTGCCAGAGTCGGTTACAGAGTTGTTTTTGGTTTCCCTACCCGGGCCACGTCACCTGTCAGATCACGTGTAAAAATGCCCAAGTAAAAGAGCCCAAGTAAAAAAACGCTGCAGTACTCCCCTCCCCCACTCCACGCACGGCCGCAGCAGACGCCGCCAGCCATCGGAGCAAACCAAAGGCCACGTCAGATTTCTTGACCCCAGGGACGTCACGTGCGGAAGGCGCAGTAACATTCACAGAGTTGGATCAGCCCAGATGGCCAGCAACGCACGCCGCGGAAGGACGCAAAGCCAAACAAAGCAGTCAAAAAAAAAAAGGAGAAATGTAATAAGCGCACACAGTAAATAGCGCCAAAACGCATAGAAAAAACCCCCGCATAGAGAAAGAAAAGGTGAAATAAGCACACAGTAAATCAACGCCAACGCGCATAGACAAATCCCCTGCATTAAAAAAAAAAAGACTGAAAAAAAGCGCACACAGTAAATCAAGCAAACGCTCGGCCAAAGCGCATAAACAAATCTCCTGCAAAAAAAAAATCGTAAATATAACAGTGTTAACCACAGTTAACAGTGTTAACCACAGCTAACAGTGTTAACCACAGTTAACACTTATATTTACGTTGTTTTTTTTTTCTTTTTTTTTTTTTTTTGCAGGAGGTTTGTTTATGCGCTTTGGCCGAGCCTTTGCTTGATTTACTGTGTGCGCTTTTTTCAGTTTTTTTTTTAATGCAGGGGATTTGTTTATGCGCGTTGGCGTTGATTTACTCTGTGTGCTTATTGATTTACTTTGTGTGCCAAATCTGCGTGTCCTTGCAGCTATTCTCTGTACATAACTATCGCCTTGAAACGGCCTTCCCTTGTAATGCTTTTCACTTCACTCGAGCTTACTGGCACTAGTGAGACCCAAGTATACTCGCACGCAACGCCACTGACCAAGACACTCCTTCTTTGCGGTTTAATTTCTAGGAAGCGTATTCTCTCAATCTCTCCTTCCCAAAGCTCGATGACGTAGCGTGGGGGTCGCAGTACCCCCAATGACGATATTTGAATGCGGCTCATAGGTTGGACTCGAACATTGCGTGACCACTCGATTTGGGTTCGTGATAATCAATAGCTCGAGAAGCATTCGCGTAGTGGTTGTGTCCAATCGCTGCAATGACGACAATAGCCAAACCACAACAATGTCTGGAACCATTCTTTGCACCACCACTCTTTGCCTGACAGCGCCGTCAACGACCACGTTTTTGCATTGTTGGGGCAGTGATCGTTACACCGTCCCATGGCACCACCATTATTATGAAAGCATCAGGTCACACCGCTTTTTGCTGCATGCGAGCAAAAAACATCTCTCGACAGTTTTTTTTTTTTTTTTTTTGCACTATTTGGGCGGTTGCTTAACTGTCGTAGCACGGCGCAGCATGTAGCATAAAACTTCAGTGCTAGAAGCCCATAGATTGCTCTAGCTTCCGCTGGCGCCATTTTCAGCTGTTCTCTCTCTCTACAATGAGACGAACCCGCTCGTGTTGGTCTCCGGAGATCTCGCTTTGGGCTGTGGAGTTTCGCAAACGATACCTCACATTTTTACTAAGATTTGACAATGTGGAGAGCCATCGCTATTCCAGAGTACGGTTGCTCACCTTTTCGGCTCACTTGTGGAAGCAGGTGGGACTTCATCGGAGGTAGTAACGTGAAGCCATATTTGAGTGCGCCGTTCACCGCGCACGCTCAGAACAAGCCCACATTTATAGGCTGCCGAGACGAGCGATTTTGATGGTGTGAAATGCAGGCAGCTAAATAACTGCAAAAGTTCGCCGTGAGCACGCGCTCAGCAGCCGTGCACTCGGCTATAGCCGCCAGTGTGACCTGTAAAAACGAAGAGACCAGAAGGGGGCGACACTGACAAGACACCCCCTTCCGTGCGCAGATCCAGATCACGACGCTGTGCGTGTCCATCTCGCTGAGTGCCTACGTGGCCTTGTTCTGCCTGTTCTCGCCCAAGATCTACATCATCCTGTGCCACCCGGACAAGAATGTGCGCAAGCTGACCATGAACAGCGCCACCTACAAGAAGGCGCCCACGAGCAGCACGTGCGGCACCTCGGTCAACCACGGCACTTGCGGCACCGGTGAGTGCAACGACCCCGGCTGCAGCATGGTAAACAGGCGCATACCCACGCTCTAAAGTCTGGTTCAGACCGTTGCGTTTGACTGCGTTGCGGCTGAAAGAAACCAGGACACCCCTGTTGCTTATATTGCGTGCCAATCTGATTCCTTGAATTGGATTCCACGCTTCATACGAAGCACAGATGTGCCGGTGATTTGCTTTCGGTTCTCGACGCAACGCAGTCAAACGAACTCAAACGCAAGTGTCTGAACCGGCCTTCACGCAGTGCGCTTCACGCCAACGCCACCCGTGTAGAACATGTCTGGCGTACGCGGAGGAATCGAAGGAGAGGAGAGCGTGCGGCGACGTCGGAGCGACGAGCCCTGATTTGAAGGATTAGCGGGTAAACGCAAAAGCTAGCTTTTTTTTTTTTTTCCACCGTCTTCTTTTAGTCAGAGCAATCAGGAGCATCGTCTGCTCTTTGTTCGGGGTCTGGCGTTCGGCGTCCGGCGTTTAAACGCAAGGCCCTGTTCGAATGGCAGACGACACCCTCGTTCGCCCTGATTGGAGGAAGACGGTAAGTAGAAAGAAGGGCAGCTATCTTTGGCGCCTACCCACTAATCATTACAATCAGAGTTTCGCACTCCAACGTCCAGAACATGCTCTCATCTTTCCTCCTTCAGTTTTTTTTTTTTTTTTTTTTTTTTTTTTTTTTTTTGTATACGAAGCTTACGAACCTTTGTTTTTTGTAGAACCGCGAGCACGAGGCTTTAATTGAGGACCATTCACACACTATATTTATTCAAATGTTTTTGTTTTTCATTGCAGAAGTTTCAACCAGAACACACGAAGCGATACTGAAATTTAAGTGTCTGCTATAGAGTCTCTGACGGGATTAGAACGGCAGAGAACGACCTCCCGTTCTTGTCCTGTGAAAAAGTACACGATAATTCAAGATTCAGTTTTAAGCAAAAAAAAAAAAAAAAAAAAAGACCGTTCTGTTGGATAACTAAATAGATGAGTATGTTAAATGGAGAATTTATGAAAACGTTTTCAGTGGCGTATAGCCTCCAGAAAGGTTTGCAACGCTCCATCTTTTTCTTTCTTTTTAAGGTCATAAATACTGGAATTCTTATAAAGTCATCACAATTCAATTGACTCACATAAAAGTCAGAACGGAAACAAAATGGAAACGGCGGCTGTCCGATAGTGGAGCGCGCGAAAGTGGAAAAGACGCGATTCTGTTCATTCGGAAGACGGAAGGGCTTTCAAGATGGCGGGCTTCGTAGATGAGGACCGCTGAGATCCGGTCCGTATACGCACTTCCTGAGCGACACGTCGATTGAGTTCCCCTCTGCGACGACAATTTCCGTCCATGCCCAATTCTTCTGAGAAAATTAGCTCCGTCGGACGACTTTCTGAAGAGACTGCGGAACCTCCTCAACGTGGCACTATTTTGTAAGCACTGTGTGACAGATGTTAGCACTTGAGTGTTTTGAAGGCTGCCATGGGATGCACTCTGAAGTTTGATACAATTTATTGGGGCAAAGAGGTCAGCCGGAGACTGCTCCTGTTGAAATAAACCTCGCAGCGTGGTGTACAGAAAGGTGAGGCAACAAAGAAATAGGTCTGTGGGTTAAAGGACTGTGAGTGCCCAGGCGCAGGTGGTAGCTAATCGTGTCGTTTAACACGTGAGACTGTGGTGCAGAAGAGGAAACTTTTTTAGCTGGAGGGATAGACACAGAATTTAGCTACTCATGTTTAGACATTTATTATGGTAGGAGCCAAGGCTGCCCCTTTTGTCGATCACGTCTCTTTGAATTAGTTTAGTTTGTTGTATAGTCGCAGGATTTTTTTTATCGAGATTTATACAGTTTTTTTTCGTTGAATAAGCTTTCGTGCAAAGGAGAACGTACGTCTTCAGCTACACCCATAAGCATACGTCGGTATAAAATGACAATGACTTGAATTGAGATTTTTTGGTGGAGTTACATATAGTTTACGGTAACTGCCGGGAAAAAAAATATATTCGAGCATTTATGCTAGCGTTGGCGCTGCAGCTATAGAGTAAAGGAAACTGCTCCGCCAATTCCACGGCGTAATAAACCCAAGGCACGATAATAATATTGACGTTTCTTTTTCCCTCTATTAGTTTTACTTTGTTACTGTTTTTTTTTTAATTTGTTGGTGTCGCAATTTGATTGGTTGCTTAATCTCAGCGAGGTTGTAGCCCCCGGCTGACTTGGCCCTGCGTTTCATAACTTGGCCTCAACGTCAATTTTGTGCAGAGCCATTTATACCGAGAGATAAATTGGCCGAGAAACGGAGCTTGTACTTCGCCTTCCTAATAGCCCAAAGTGGTATCCCCGTTTTTTGCACGTGTGTGTGTTATCGAGGCACGTCAGCGCTCCGTGTCGGTGACAAAATATTGACGGATAGAACGTTTGCACCCCTGGGTTGTTAAACTCTTCCATCATAGTCCCTCTTAAGTAAGAAAAAAAAAAAGAAAGAAGCTGCTAATCTCGCTCGTTGTAAGTGACCCTAGCGTCGTCACTTTCACTACGGTATACCTGGAGTGGAACGCGTTTCCGACAGGAGTGCTTAGCGTTCTACCCCGCACATACATCAAAGCTGAGTGAGAAATGTCGACAAATAATGTATGTCACAGAATCTGGCGTGTCGTGCTGTCGGCTCGGCAAAAAGTTCTAGCGAAAGCGAGTGTCGCGGTCGTCGCGGAGTCCCAACCCTTAGCTGCCGAAACTTCCGTGAACTGCCGAACTGGAGAGCGACTTGCGGAAGAACAGTTCCACCACCACTGCCGTGACATCGTCTGTATCGCAGGCAACACGACACTCCTATGACATCATCGGGTAAAAACCAAGGGACCACTTTTATTTTTATTTTTTTATTTTTTATGACACGATAAACACTCCAGTCCGACACGCGTTTCAAGCACCAAACTTTTCCGAGACGCCTGCTTCGGATGTCGAAACTGAGTGCCTAATAGCTTGTTTTGCTCTTTCTGTCCCCGTGTGTGCGCGTGTGCAGGCAGCTCGGGAGAGCAGCTGAAGCTGACCCTCGCCCATCGGTCCGTCGCCCAGGCCGTGACGGACGTTAGTGAGGACAAGGACAGCCTGGCCTCCCTATAGGGGAGGCTGCCCACGAAGCTCCCTCCACGACGTGCGGTCCGCATCCAATCTTCACACCTTCAAGCCCAAATATAGAAAGAAAACAAAATATTTATAAAATATCTATATATTGTACACGTCATCAACGTCTTCCGAGTGCTATAAACATAGGAACCAAGGGAGCATCGCTACCACAGCGTGGCCACCACGGCGTTCGACGGAGCAGCAGCGGCAGCGACGGAAGTGGACGCGGACTAGGTTGTGAAACGTCGCACGGCGGAGACATGCTCTGGGAGAGACCCCCAGCGGCGAGCTACGGCAACTAGCACCTTCCATCTATGTTCGCTACATACAAGCCCGATTTCACTGTGTCGTAGCTAGAGTTTTGTATAAAACGAAGGACGCGTTGAATCGTCTGATTTCCGTTCCTCGTTGTTGTCGTCGTCGTCGTCGTCGTTAGTGTTGTTAACGTTGCTGTTATATCGTTGATGTTGATTTTTTTTTCTTTTATCCGTTATCCCACTTCTGCTTTCTTTCTTTTCTTTTTCGCGTGTTGTTTCGTTCGTCATTCCGCGGACAACCTCAGAACAATCCTGCCAGCAGTTGTGTGTGCGCATTTTTGTACTTGCGTGTGTACATATGCGTTCGTTCCAGTCCCGTTCCGGGCCCGTTATTAACCATCGCCTCTCGCAGTCCAGTCGTTTTGTAAAGCAGCGTATAGCTCACCTCGGAACTGTCGACAAACAACAGCAATTTAATTCCAGGGAGGGGGAGAAGAAGGAGGAGGAGGAAGACAACACTCGCAGAAACACCGTCATAAACACAACACAACGCGCGGGGAAAAAAAGGATCCGATCTCCCGAGTTAGTTTGTGTCAGACACAAAACAGAAGAGTTTCGTGGTCTCCGTCCGCCAGCGGCAGGAAACGAACTTCTCTTTGGGTTGCCAGCTCCAAAACTGGGGAAACCAGCGCAGAGCGGGGCTCGTGCCAGGGCACACACAGCGCTCGCCCCGTGTGCAGATAAAGATGGGGCTCATCTGCATATGGAGGCTGCTGTGTTTACGCCGACTGCCCGCAGTCCCGGACGGAGGCTGCCTAAACTCGCCCACACAGTCCTCCTCCCCCGTCAGTCTTCACGATAATACCAAGTTGCTTCCCTGCCATACTCGAGCAGGAAGAACAAGCTCAAGCACTCTGTCACGTAGGGAAATGAAGAGGAAATAACACAAAAAGAACGTTGGAATTTAGGGAACCGTTTGGGGGAGGGGGGGGGAGGGGGGGGGACGTTTTGGGAATGGAGATTTTCTGCGAACCCGATGGGGAAAGAGAGAAAAGAACAGGTGTTCTAGGGAACATTGGGATGGTGGTGGTGGTTGTTGGGGTGTCTAGGGCACTGAGAAGGAGCGGTCAACTACAAAATGGGTGCTCTTCGGGTGAGGACTCGACATCTCGCCGAGTTGATCGCTTATCCAGTACGCGAAAAACGCGGAAGAACGCGGTTTTTTCATCTGTGTTTGTCTGCGTGCGTGCGTGCATGTGTATGCGTGTGTGTGTTACAAGCAATGTGCATAAGTGCTTTGTTTATATGTTTGTTAACAGCGTGTTCTTTTAACTGAATAGAAAGCGTAGTTATTACTTGTAAATAGTGGTCCTGTAGGACGCATGAAGTCGTCGTCCCGACTTCTATTGTGTATGCTGTGAATATAAGACAAAGTAGGGCATTTATGGAAAAGTGAGTTTTTGTATGTCTTCATGGGCGTCTTCGGCTGAAATCTGTAAAGATATATCTTGCCGTAAGAATGCTGAATACTTAACAGAACTGGTGCCGTCGCTAATATAATCCCCTCAGCATTGGCAGTGGACATGGCATTTGCTTTGGGCCAAAGACACTTTGACCCCTGTAGAAATTGTCTAAAGGTTTTGTACCCGCCGTTTGCTAGTGTGCATGATAGATACTTAGCTATAGCAAATCTGGCGGCCCTTTGCTGTTGTTAGTAGGGCTTACAATTGTTGTCAATACCGGTAGTTAACCTAAGCCTAATAAAATAACTTCGATGGTTACGTATGAGGTGCTGAACCTTTAGCATACCAAGGTTAAATCTGTTTTTGCCAAAAGAAGTTGTATGGCCACTGTTGCCTGTACATCATAAAACCCACCAACCAAGGTTGTTTTCTTTCACGGCGGAAACTCAACTGGCAGAGTAGTCTTTGCGCGCGCAAAACGTGGTAAATAGCCTCCTTAACTTGTGGTTCATTAAATTAAATAAACGTTTCAAAGGTACACTGCATTCATTGACGACAACTGTGTAGCTTTGTATCTTTGAATCTTGGTATTTATCATCTCAACGTTCGGGGAAAATGCCCGTGTAGTCACTTTTTACTTTTGAGGCGGAGCTGCACTTTCCCTTTCCTTTTTTCTGTCACGCATATGAGTTCAAATACGTAGCGCCCATAATGGCTTGCTCAACAGTCCAGTAGCACGACTGTAGTTAGACAAACCTTCCCAATGCTAGCACTAGTAGCCTCACTGGGGGGAAAAAAGAACGGGACCCACAAGTCGTTCTCCAAAAACCTCGACAGACTGCAGCCCCGTGTTTTGTCAAACATGTATAAATCACCCGTAGCCTCGGTAAATGTCTCGAAAGTCACAAGCGTATGATCAAAGATGCAGCAGTGAAACCCCTCGAGAGGAGAAAACCTCAACGGTTTCTCCTTCTATACATAATCCTTTTAAACTGATGGAGACGCAACTCAGTATAGGCATTCTGTGATGTTGCCGAAGTTCGGTTAGAGTTTAAAAAAAAAAATACAGTCAGTTGTTGAACCGGGCAGCAGCGCCATGTTGGCGTCTCGAAGAAGGCACTTTATAAAAGCATCTCGTTCGACTGTGTGTCTACACGTTCGGTTTCCGTTCTCACTTCTCCGTTACTTTCTGCGTTTCTGCGTGAGCTACCTCGTACCTGCTAATGTACTCTATTCTTAGATATATCCAGGCATCTGTTCATTTCAGTCATCAGGGTTCGCTCTGAACGCGCGTCTTTCCGGCGTTTTTTCCGGCGTTTGGGCGGGCGTTGCTGGGCCACAGGCCCGTTCAAAAGTTGGGTCCTTCTGTACTTGGACAACGGCCCGGACAAAATCTGTTCAGTGCTTGCAGTCGCGTCGGCGCATGAGAAGCGCTTCAAATGAGTAACGATGTTTTCCTGATGACATCACTGTCGGCACTCCACGTTTTGCCGGTTGCATGCTGTCCGCGCTGATCAGGCAAGCAAACCGAGGCGACGCTCTGGTTGAGAGAATCCTTAACTCCTCAAACTTGTTGACAAACTATATCTTCCTTGATTACTTTTGAACAGCACGTGTAAGGGTGGTACGGTTAGAAAGAAACTTTGGTTCTGTTATAATTTTTTTTTTTCATTTAATTAGTTACGTTTGTTTAAGGAAGCATTGAAGTGGAATTTGAGTGTGTGTTTTACGTCGAGAACGTATGATGTACAACACACTTTCCAAACAAAACCTGAAACTCTAAAAAGTGCTTGTACTTTAAGACACCATATAAGTTGCTACTTCTGCGCTTACGTAATAGAGATCCCTTGAGTTAGTAGACTCTTTAAGTATTCTCAATTGTACACAAAAATGCAGCTTCAAAATTGCAGATGCGCACAAATAAAACAAAACAACGTAAATCTCTTTTAGGCATGGTGCAACCAAAACTGTCGGCATAGGTGCAATATCTTCGTCAAGTTTTGTGTTGCTCGAAGCGTACCAAGAGCACGGACGAGGCCCCCGACTAGTCCCAGCAAGCATCTTACTTTTTTTGTGTGTTCCTCGTCTCAATCGCATTTTTCTTATTTTTCATTTTGAGGACTCCCAAATAAATCTAACATTTCATTGAGAAGGTTAAGGGAGTTTACACGTGCCGAATAGCTCATCCCATTTTTGTATAGTTCAAAATTCATAACATGAGAAAGGTGTGTTTTCCACTTTGACTATTTTGACTATATGGCGAACAAAATGTAAACTCCTATGTACGAACTTCTATCGCACTGCCCGTAAAAAGGGCCGACCAAGACTGAAAACCATATATACATTTCTTGGCTGTTTGCAGACCTTCCTATAATCTCCGCAAAGCACGCATCTGTCACGCCATCACGCACCTTGTTGATGAGGAACGTTTCAAAACCACCATTTGGACAAGAGAACGATTAAAGTCGCTACTTCGTTACCACAAAAATATTCCCGAACAGGTTATTCTTAAAACAAAACACTTTTGTCTCGCGTTCCTGGTCATAACTCAAACACACGACTGTTCAATGGCCCTATTAAATCGGTCTCAATATGTTACTTTGATTTGCAAACGGATATTCAGTTTGCGATTTTGTTTTCTTTTTGTAAAGATGCGTGTTGTTTTGTAGATGTTCGCAACGCCAAATTGCACTAGAAAGTGAGTACCTATGTGGACCGAAAGCTGCTGGAAATTACATCCAAAGCGTTGAAATTGCAAACTATCAGCTCGAGCGGTCACTTTAGAGCAAACAGCCAGCCGTCTGTTCGTAGAAATTTTGTGTTGTTCATTTTATTTTTTTATCTAAGGTGCCCGTTCAACCTGTTTTTAAGTGTGTGTTATTTTTCACAAGACTTTCCAGGGTTTATTTGGTATGTGATTATAATTCAGATGAAATACTTACTTGTTTATCAAAAATTATTATTTTTTGTTTATTTCGTCCACACCAATGGAGTATACCAGTAGCATAAAGCAAGGCGAAATAACGGATTTCGTCCTACAGGGTCGGGTTTTTCTATGAAGTACTGCCGTAATCCTACTGTCTTTTTTTTTTTTTTTTTTATTACGGTCTTGTCTGCGTCAACTTTAGAGGAATGTGACTTAAGCAGAACAAAGGGCTAGTATTGCCGCAGTGCCGGTGCAGGTGATTTTTAAGGCTGTCCTCTGAAGCGTTAAAGCACCCTCGCTGCACTTGTAGGTTCACAAATCTGACTTGTACATAAGTGTGTAAAGTGTTTCCGTGGCATAGTTCTGTAGCAATTTAGCGGCTTTCAGTCTGCAATATAGTATGCGAGGCTTCCCCTGACATTGTTTTTCCTTTTTTTTTAGTTTCTACCTAATTTATTGGCTATTCGAATGGTCTATAATTCTTTACTCTTTGTTCTAATGTTACAAACACTGATTTTGTAACCGTGCATAATAGTAAGAAATGAAGATTTCACAGTAACGATAGAACCTGAACCTACTTAAAGGCAGAAATAGCAATACAACTATGAGACGTAAAATATGCCTCCTATTCGTTATATGGGATGTGCCCAGAGAGGTAATCTACCGCTACGTTTGCAATATCCCTTGGTTCTAGGCAAGTTTTGTTTCTTTTTTTTTTCTCGCTCTTTCTTCGCTTCTTAGCGAAAGAAACATACTTACAATTATGCTGGATGAATTTATAGAACGTTATGCCCGACTCCTCTTACGTCAGCCCAGGTACTATATAAAAATCATTATTGCTTTTATTTTTTGACACTCTATTTTGGTGCTTTACTTATAAGTACAGTAACCTTCTGAAGCCTCTTAGCCCCATTTTAGCAGGTTAAGCTGCCTAAGTGGTCCTCCTTGTTACAATAATATTAAGATGCACATAATACCTTTTGTTTCGTGGTCGCGTCGTTTAAGCTTACATTACAAATAATTCTAGTCGACTCAAAATGCCCGTTTGGTTGCATGATGTTCGTCTCTTGTATATCCTGTACAGTCGCTTGCCTCGTGCACATGAAAAATGTCGAACCGACCTTGTACAACATGTAGGGATATGGGTTCTCGCGTGCCTCTTTTGTATTTATCAGTCTGCTGTTCAATGTATATAATTCTGAACCATTTATGCTAAGTAATTTCTGTCTTTTTTTTTTCTTTTTTTTTTCAGAAACGCCGTGTGTTAACATTCCAGTCAAAGTATTTGCGTGCGCAAAAGCTTTTACCTTGGTAGGAAACGTAACTAATAAGTAAACGCGCGCATTTGATGACATATGAAGACTGTTTTAATCTTTCTTGCCTGGTCACGCATGAATCTCGGGGCTTCAGTACATACATAGTTTGTGCCTATTTCTCACGTCAACTTAAACGTACTCAAGCAAGTTTCAACCGGCGGCTAACTAGGCGGACGCGAGACGAACGACACTCTTAAAAAAAAAAAAAAACGTGCGTCTGCTTTTCCGCATAACACTCGGAGAGCCAATCACCGCAACTTACGGAGATAGCTCAGCGAATGAAGGTGCCGAAACATATGTTTAGACCAAAAAATGCAGTCTGAGTTGTGACCTTAAGCAATGCAAGCGTGACGTTTTGCATTGCTTAATGTCACAACTCAGACTGCGTTTTTTCGGTCTAAACATAGGTTTCGGCATCGTCATTTGCAGAGTTGCCCCCTTAAGTTGCGGTGATTGGCTCTCCAAGTGTTGTGCGGAAAAGCAGACGCACGGGCTTTTTTTAGAGTGTACCTGAAACATCCCGAAGGTATCCAGTCACGGACGTATGGCGAATAGGAACCAAACGAAGCAAATGTTGTAGCGAATGTTGTAGCGAAAACAGCAGACTGTTAACAAGTTGTTAATTACCCGGCCACATTCCGATCTTTTTAGTCACGAAGGTTCTGACATCAGAATAGACAACCTGCACTCTAAGAAATGCCTGTGCGTCTACTCACCCGCAAAGCGCTCAAAGAGCCAATCTCTGCGATCTACGAAATCAGCTCAGCGAATGATGAGGCAGAACACCCGTTTAGATTTAAAAATGAAGTCTGCGCTGTGGCATTACGTAATGCAAAGCGTCATGCTTCCATTGTGTAATGCCACAGCGCAGACTTACTATTGAGGTCTAAACGGATGTTCCGCCTCATCATTCGCTGATCTGATTTCGTAGATCGCAGAGATTGGCTCTTTGAGCGCTTTGCGGGTGAGTAGACGTGCAGGCATTTCTTAGGGTGTGCACTAGAGTGGAAAACAATGGGAGAAACTTCCCCTGCCCTCTTAACCTCTCACCAGACTCGTCAAACACAAGGTTGGGGCCGCAGTTTGCAGAGCGGGCCGATTGGACTCTCAGCTAGAAAGGCGCTGCGTTTTCCTCGCCGCGAACTTTCGGCTCCAACTTTGCGTTTGAGAAGTCTTTTAAGCTGTCAGTCACAACGGAGCCCCTATGCCCGGTTTAGGCGACGTAAAATAGAGTAAGACAACTGCGCTGCCCGCACATTCAGTACCTAACAGAGGGCATTCAAATAACTCGCAGTGATTGGTGCGCGACTTCGGGCCAAGTCCCGACCCTAGGGGGATATTTATTTTGATCGACTCTCGTGTTCCTTGATCTTCTGACTCGTTCTCGGCTAACAAGGAGAGTATTGAGTGAAATTTTTACTCGAATCACACAAAATAACACCATTAAGCGTAACCTTTTTATTTATTTATTTATTTTTTGACCTTGTTTTATTTTTGTTGTGCGTAGCTACAAAGGGTCGGTGGGAAACAATAAAGGCTTCACTCCTTTATTCACGCCAGTGTCTGCTTAAACATAAACGATCCGTTGTCGGAATGAGCTTGATGTAAACTTGGCGTTCGGTGATTGGCGTAAGATTATGCCTTGACAGTGGCTACGATGTAAGCGTATGAATATGGCAATAATTATTATAGACGTTATTATTTTGGTGTGCAGTTTAAAAAAATGCAGGGCGTTTATGTTTCACTCTTCGTGACTCGTTCTCCGGCGTTGTTTTGTTGGCTAGTGGCGCCATCTCTTTGAGTGCGGAGTAATAATAAGATGCTCTCGACTAGCCACGCCGCGCGTCCGTTTCTCAAGCTGTCGGCGACGGTGGCATATTTGAACGAAGCTAAAAGCATTAAAGTTGAAGCAGAACGACCGTACGTAAGTGTGGGTTTTATTAGTTTATTACGTGCGGTTACCTTTAGGGAAACTAACTACCTTCAGCAGAAGATCCTGGGAACAGCTATGTATCGCGGAAAAACTTAGGCGTTATAAGGGCCACAACAAGAAGCACCATTTTTTAACACAGGTTGCGTGCATTCTGGTTTTTTTCTGTTTCTTTTTTCCCCACAAACAATAGACTTTTTTCTTCTTTTTTTTTTTTAAGTCCGCGCCAACGCCTGTCCGCCATTGCTTGATCGCGTGCTTTGAGCACGTGTTAGACACAAGGCCTGGGTCAGTGTTCGGCGAGGACTAGGGTCCAGTCATTCGCTTCGTGTCCAATGGACTGATGGATGGATGTTAATGCTATTCCCTTTGTAACGGGTGGTAGCTTGCGCCACCTAGCCTAAGTCCAAAAAGCTCCAAGCAATGGCGACGGCCAATGTTGCTCGACGGACTTTTGAAAGGGGTCTATTAAGTGGGAAGCAGCGAACAAAATACTCTCTCTCTCTCGTCGCCGACCCTGACAAAGTAACCGGTACTTTTACTATGCACATCCGCATATCCAGAGGCCCCCTTCGAGGTTTCAGTCTTGTAGCGCCGCTCTGCGTATAGCTTTCTGAGTATCCCCAGCGTGCTTTGCGCGATGCCCGGATGTCGGCGGATTGTGCGCAACGACTTCGTAACCCGTTGAAGCGAACAGAACGCGAAAGGATAGACTCGAGGCGTGTATAGAAGGCTCGAGAACTGTGTTTGTTATGCAAGTATCATCTTCCACGGTGTGTAATGGTCTCAAGCGTCGTCGAAAGTTCTCGATCCAACATGGTGATGTCTTTTTCCTGTATATATGTGCCTAGGCTAGGTGACTGCTGTTGTTGTATTACTAGTGAG